AATGCAATACTTTTGTGTGGGAACGCAAAAAGAAAAATAACCCATGTCCCCTCGCGGGCTCCGTACATAAGAGACGAGATACAAGCTGAGTCATAAACTAAAACGTTCAAGGAAGTAGTCCTTTATGTCGTTACTGRGGTTTAGTTGGTAACAACTGAACTAACATTAGAAAAGCTGCCAATTTAGAGGAACTTTAAACTGTCCCACACCTGAACTTGAGGCGGGTTGAAGCTCATGTTGTAAACTCTGCCACTGGACGGATGGATCCAGCGATCACTCAGTCTCTCCCTCAGAGTCTCATAGGGGATGTTGAGGCTGATGACTAGGTCCAGCTGACACAGGTTGTTCAGGGCCTGAGCCTGGGCCAGCGTGCGGGGGAAACCTGGACACACATCAGAGAAAGACAAACGTGTCAGAGTTAACCAGGAAAAATAAACAGTGGCGCAACCTTTTGTTTTTCCTGTTTACTGTTCCAGAAAATACAAGACAATTATTAATGAACTCACTGAAAACTAGTACCAAAGCATGGATCAGACAACAGTAATAACACATGACAAACCAGTCATGGTAGCAGTTCTGTAAAATTACAGTAATAAATGCTAATATTTGCTCAAACATGCTGGTGTTAAATTAACTGRAACTTTGTTTAGCTTGTTGGTAAGAAAACTGAGCAACAAATAGGAACTGATCAAACCGAAGTTCTCTCATTTGCTTTAGTTTATATAAATTAATTTGTTGATTCARGATTTGATTCTGCAAAAGTCTTGCAAATCAGAAAAACGGATCTACTTCTTATAACTGATCAGATGTGTCTGCGTGCCCAAACCTGTGGTCCCTGTCCCCAACTCGGGTACCGGTTTTAAATATTCACGTGTTCGTGTGTCAAAACTGTTGAACATGCTCTAGTTTGTTTCATCAGTGTTTGGCACGTCTCTCAACTAAACTGGATAATATTTAACATGGAAAAAGAGGCGCTGATCTTTTTTTTTTTTCGGTCATCCTTAAATCTCACCAAGCCCTCAAAAAATATGTGACCTAAATGTGTTACTGGTGATTACTTCTCTGTAACTGATCAACAACCATGGAAGACGATGTTCCACCACACCCAACATTTATAAACACAGACTCATAAACCCAGTGACCCATGTCTATTTAGAGCTTTCACACTATCTAAAACTATGTGAATTAATTGTTGCATTGTTGCATAGAAGCTGCTATCACATCAAAGGTAGCTTAAGATTTGTAAACCTGACTCAGTTATTGCCATTCTGTGTTAATACTGATTAGCTATGGTGGCCATCTTGAATAGGGTTGACCCAAACAGTAACTAAATGTAGATTTACGTTTAATTGTTACTTTCTAAGAGTTTCAGTCAAATCTATCCATTGGTTTGTGAAACACTTTGCTAATACTACAAACAAGAACACTCACATAGCCAAAAAACATTATTGCCCTTTGCTTATGGTTGAGATTAGAGGTCATTGCTAACCAAAACGTTAGCTTAACTAATCCACTAAGGAATAACCTTAGCCCTGCTAACACTAAACCGATAAGCAGATAAAATATTAGTGGAAGCAGGGTCACGGGGGTCACCGGTGCCCATATCCAGCAGTCACAAGGCGAAGGGTGGGGTACACCCTGGACAGGTCACAAGTCCATCACAGGGTCACACATATAGACAAAGAACCATTCACTCTCACTCACACCTAGGGACAATTTAGAGTTATCAATTAACCTAACAGTCATGTTTTTGGTCTGTGGGAGGAAGCCTGAGAGCCCAGAGGGGAACCCACCAGAGGCGATTGCTGTAAGACTGCAAGGGAAGCTCGGCTTCCCCTAAAATATAAAAAATAAAAAGATCAAATATATACTGTTGTGAGTACATGTCATTGACTAAATATGCACTACAACGCGCTCAACTTTTGTTCAGAATCAGCTTCTTATCACTGGTAACAACGCGACTTTCCTCTCACTCATTCCCGCAGCTTCACAGTGCTCATTAGCGATGCAAAGACTGCAGCGAAACGAGACGTGTCATTGGATAAATGCTGGCTTTGTCCTACCCATCGGACGGTGAGCATCTCTGGGGGTCTATGGAGCAGTGGGCTGACTCGGACGCTCAGCTCCTGCATGATGATTGGATGATCTGTCTGAGGCTGAATCCCTTTTTGATTTGACAGCGAAATGAGCGAAAAAGCGATATTTTGGTGTAAACATTCCGTGGGAGCAGTTTTTAGTTTTGTTTCTGTTCGGAGTTGAACCGGAAACTTTGTTAATCCTTTTAGCAGCATTTTCTTTGTTAAAAATGGCTAGCAACAAATCGAGCTTCTATTTCTGGTTGTTGTTTTGTAGCTGCTTGTGTTTGGAAATCCATAATTTTTGAAAGAAATCTGTATTAACATGCAGGTGGGGTTGGGGGGGGGGCTTTTCCATCATCCTACAGGCTCTGATAAATAGATCTGAAACTGAGTTTTTGAAAAAAATCTGTAAAATATGAAAAAATCTGTGAGACTGCTCTATATCCGTATACCTGCAAAATTAGTAAAAATCTGTGTAAATTACAGGAGGCAATCCATACAACTTGACATGTATGCTGTTCAAAGTTTAGCTACTAATGATGCTACATGCTGTCCTGATGCATCTCAGTAATCCAGGTAAAAAATCAAAAAGAGAAAAAAATTGTATAGGTCTTCTGGACGGGTTCTTCTCTTATGAAACGTTTCGTCTCTCCTCCAAGAGACTTCTAGTTGAGCGCGTTGTAGCACATATTTAGTCAATGACATGTACACACAACAGTATATAGGGATGCACCGATACCAGATTTTTGAAAACCGAGTACGAGTACAAGTACTTACATTAAAGTACTTGCCGA